TGTTTACATATTTACTAGCTTTAACTTTTAGCTGACCTTTTGCTACTGTTTACATATTTACTAGCTTTAACTTTTAGCTGACCTTTTGCTACCGTTTACATATTTACTAGCTTTAGCTTTTAGCTAACCTTTTGCTACTGTTTACATATTTACTAGCTTTAGCTTTTAGCTGACCTTTTGCTACTGTTTACATATTTACTAGCTTTAGCTTTTAGCTGACCTTTTGCTACTGTTTACATATTTACTAGCTTTAGCTTTTAGCTGACCTTTTGCTATTGTTTACATATTTACTAGCTTTAGCTTTTAGCTGACCTTTTGCTACTGTTTACATATTTACTAGCTTTATCTTTTAGCTGACCTTTTGCTACTGTTTACATATTTACTAGCTTTAGCTTTTAGCTGCAGTTCTGTAAATTGTCATTTGCTACTTTTAGTTTTAATCAAACTTATTTACTCTTAGCTTCTAGCTAGTTTTCATGCTTTGTTTTTATTCATTAATTTTTTTAACAAAAAGAGTAAATTAGAGAAATAGAAATAAATAAAGATTCTCTGCGTTGGAGTTCTTGCTAAAGGAACAGTTGGCATTTTGAAATGATAATGTGCGCAGATGTTCTCCGCAGGTAAACCCTGAGCTGCTCTCTGAACAGGCGTCAGACTGGATGTAAATAATTATCGAACACTAAAGGAACCTCGGTGGAACCGAGACATTTTTAGGACTCTGAGTTGAAGCCACTCTGTCTTGTTGTCTTGTGTCAGATATTCTTCATGCATCTCACCTGCCACTCTGAACGTGCACGTGTTCCACGATCATCTGTGCTAGTCTGTTAGCTGTGAGGACGTGTGTTGTAGCTCAGTGTTTGTTAGAGTTCTTGGTAAGACCTGACGCTGTGACACTAAACCAGGAGCAGAAATCAAGATGCTGATGTTTGTGTCTCCCTGCAGTTGGTGGAAGCTCTGAAGGAGCAGGAGGAAATCAACCTGCGCCTGCGACAGTACATGGACAAAATCATCCTGTCCATCCTGGACCACAACCCCTCCATTCTGGAGATAAAGACCTAGCAGAGGCTGAACTGGTTCCTGATCATTCCAGTGGAGCCAGGAGGAAAACACAGACATGTGGGCTCCATTTTAATTTTAATTTTTATAAATAACGTCTTTTTGCTGTTTGCATTCAGAACGATGCTGCGTGCAACTAAAGGGCCGCCTGCTGACTGTTCACGTGTGGCTGTTCATTTCAGTCCGACTGTTCTGAGCTCTGCTGCTGCTGTTTCTGACTGACTTCTTACAAGTCGGTCATTTTTTGAACCAGGAACTAGTCTGAGCCCGACGTGCTTCCACGATGGACACGATGAGCCACTGGACGTGATAAAAACTAAAAACCTTTAGCGTGACCTGCTCACGGGCGGAGTCACTGACTCGGACAAAGCGTGTTCTGTGAAAAGACGAGAGGCAAGGTGGTGTGAGAAGACAAAGAAGACGAGTTTTTAAAACGAGCACAAAACAAAGCGTTGCTATCGTTGGGTGTAGTTTGTTGAGAAAAGAGTATTTTTATGAAGTCGGTAAAGGTACGCAGAAGAAGAATATATTTTCATGTTGACAACGTCTTCCAGGAAACCTTCAAATGCACATGAGGTCTCACTTGTTTGTAATTCTGCTGAAGCTGAAACCGAGGAGCGTCTGTGAACCGGGTCGTCTGCTGAAGCGAGCGACGCCTGGTTTTAAAGCGTCCTGGGTTCTAGTACAAGTCCCAAACGAAGCTGCGCAGCCCCGGTGCAGGATGAATGTGCAGGATGTTCATGCTGGAGTGATGGCCCCGTGTCTGCCGTGCACGGAGCCCCCGGTGCGCCACAGGTAGACAAAGATTTCAGCTCGTAGGAATTCTGTGCACAAACTGGCAGCAACGTTGGTGTGCACGCACAGCAGGTGTTGTGCCTAGTTTTGTTTTCAGTGCGACACAACTCCAGAAGAGACGGACTTGGGGACGTCTACAAACTGTAACAGGGAAATGTCTGTTTTCTCTAAAACCACGTCATGTTTATAAGAAACGCTTCTTTTGGCTGCTCCGGACCTCAGGGGCCGCCACAGAGAGCCAAATCTGGCAATATTTTACACCGGTTGCTCTTCCTGATGCAACCTGGGCTCGAACCCGCAACCTCAGGATTACAAGACCGTGGCACTGACCATCGAGTTACAGCAGATCATTTTTTATGAATCAGACCTTTTTTTCTTCTTTGAATGAGTTCGTTTAGTTCAGAACTGAATTGGTCATGAAACTCGTGTCGTACGTTTCTGCAGCGAGCAGGAGGAGACAGGGTGGATGTTGTACAGGGTGGATGTTGTACAGGTTGGATGTTGTACAGG